ATACCTCCTACGAGGCTGAAATAGTGAATGCCCTAGTTTTGAGACTTCCTCTGAAAATATACGCTCCAGATTTTGATTTTTTTCTCTCACAATAATTATAGAGATCCCAGTTGGTAGTTCGTATAATATATTATTATGGTAGGTATATGTTCGCAGTTCTAAATAGCGCTGGAATTGTGATCCACATTGCAGTTGTCATAGATCTAAATACGTTGTGTAACCGACTATTGATGGCGATTCGCCACTAATCACTAATCGATTACTATCTGATGCCCTTTGCATATAATACCTGATTATATCAACTTATAGAGAAGAGTAGGCTTGCTTTACAAATTTCTTTCTTTTTCACAGACTAAAAACATTAATCAACGCAATATAAAGCAGAAGTACCTATCAGTATAGATTCAACACGGTAGAGTTCTAATAAAAGCTTGATTTGATCTTGAACTATATTTATATAATGACAGAAAGTGGGTTGAATATATTCAAAGAGAAGTGTTATGAGAAAATGGTAAGATGTCGTAGACGAACCTAAACTCCATCTCTATACCACCTCATGCAACGTATCATACATATAATATCTCCAATAATCGGACATATTTTTTTGAGATACTTCTCCTTATCCTCTTTGCCTATATCCTGGAATATTTTCAATAGCCATGCATTGGCAATTTGAATAAGGGCTTATTCGTTCCAGAACTGTCAGAATGTTGATATGATTCTACAAGAAACCTGTGGATATATAGCAATTCCCCTCAAAAATCTTGTGGATTTCTCAGACATTATGATTTATATAAACAGCTCAATATCGCATTTTTTCAATAGAATTCGAATATCATCATAACTTTCGATTACCTCAACCGATTTCCAATTATTCTTCAGTTTCTGAAAGCTCGTATCTTTGACTATCGAACCTATGGATATGACCATTTCATCTCTTCTGTATGAGATTCTATAGGATGATAATCAAAGCTGTGCATTTTTTCAAAAATTTCAAACGCCTCCCGTTTGAAAGAAAAAATTTTAAAATTTTTTTCTGGGGTCAAAAACATATTGCTTCATATGTTTTCTCGATACTGTAGGAAAATTTTTGGAATTGTCATACGCGTTGCTGAAATGTGAATGTTTGATTTAGATAATGCATAATTTCGACAAATATTCAATATGAGTCATTTGTGAAGACGTTCACTGCAAATGAAATCACATCCTGATACTCGTTAAACTACTACCATTTTGATGAATTCTGTCAGTTGCATGGTGTGTTTCGGCCGCAACTATTTTTCTTTAGTCGACATCCTGTATAATTCTTCAGTCTATCTCATTTTCCTTGATATTATCTCCTAAAAATCTATCACAAAGTGAGAAGGATGCCCAGAAAATCCGGTTTTTCTAACAATTCCACTGGTTTGATCTTGCAATAGATTCTGTAGCAACTTGACATGGTGATGACAACCTCTCCTACACGCTTTGATCGCCAGAAAACCTCTCAATCGGTTTCCTGCTTCGAAATTTTCTTGCTCGTCAAAACAAGATTATTTTTATTACTTGATGTCATAATTGTTATTTGAGGACCACCCTGTATATAAGAATAGGTTGATCATGCATCATTTCAAGATTTTTGACCACCATTCGAACCAGATTGACAGGAAAACAAAGCCAATAGAAATAAAAGCTTCGAACTATGCATTATCTTAATAAAACATTAATATTTCAGTGGTTTGATCTTGGAAGTATTCCCAACAACATATAATCTCCAAAAGTTCAAAAAAAATTCCAATGCCTACCTCCTGTCCCTATCCTCCCTAGGAACGCACGATGTTCTTTGAACATTATATAGGGATTCCCTTTCGTGCGTTCCAAGCGATTAAAAAAAAACGCGTGTTCCAAATTCAAAAAATGTTTCACAGTATCGAGAAAACATATGAAGCAATATGTTTTTGACCCCAAAAAATGATAGAAAATTTTTTCTTTCAAACGGGAGGCGTTTGAAATTTTTGGAAAAATCTCCGGGAAAGATGAAATATTTATATCCATAGGTTCGATAGTTAATGAAACGAGCTATCAGGAACTGAAAAATAATTGAAAATCGGTTCAGGAAATCGAAAGTTATGATGATTCTAATTTGATCGAAAAAATTCGATTTTACGATTCATGTGTTGAGCAGTTTAGATCAAACATGTACTTCCCAATGAGTTCTACATTTCTGAGTATCCAACACTCGCATTGTCGATTGCACTACGACAGGCCAACTATGATTAATTGAAAATGCCTAAAATCAAATAGTAATATCAGGAATTTTTTCAGCGGAAAACTGACATTTTCATGTTGAGAACTCCCTCAAAAACATGTGCTCAAATTTTCATGTTGATATCATATACAGGGCGTTATTTATTGTCAATTAATTTTCTATGCTTGAAAATAATGAGAAAAGTATAATTAACATCATGATTTCATTTAGATACAACTTAAAAACACATGTTCCATGACCTAATACACAGGATGATATTTAAACTACGAATATTTTTGTATAAATTTCATGGTTGCTTCAATTCAAATTGAATTTTCTTTCCTTGTGTTTCAAATTTGGTAGTTCCTATGTTTATTCCGAATATTTAAAGATGATGATAATAACTTGTGAGCAGAGTAATTTTTTCAATGCTACTTATTAACAGAAATGATTCAACTCGTGAACACCCTCTACCATTGCTATTCCCTAAATTTCAGTATTTTCGATCAATCCACCATTATTTTCTATACATTTGAGAATTCGTCTTCTGTTATTTTTTGCCACCTTCTTTGATGTACTAGGAGTAATGTTATGACATATGCTACCAAAATTCTTTCTCGCAGTTCTTCACTACTTCTGGGTCTAGACTAGATTCCCCATAAAAATAAATCAAGGGGCGTCAGGTCTGGCGATCATCCTGTGTATTAGAATGAAATCATGATGTTAATTATGCTTTTCCCATTATTTTCAAGCATCAAAAATTAATTGACAATAAAAAACGTCCTGTATATGATATCAACATGAAAATTTTACCACATGTATTTGAGGGGGTTCTCAACATGTTGAGAATGTCAGTTTCCCGCTGAAAAAATTCCTGATATTACTAACTGATTTTAGGCATTTTCAATTTATCATAGTTGGCCGTGTCGTAGTGCTGTCAGAGTGTTGGATACTCTGAAATGTAGAACTCATTGAGAAGTACATGTTGAAACACAAAATTTTTGAAATCTGTCAGCGATTCAGAAAATACCATGGTGGTGCTGCTCAAAGTGGGACACACTGTATATGTTCGACGTTTTCTCAATGACTCTTATACTTTTATTTCCATTTTCTTGATATTTCCATCAAGTAGAATAAGATTGTTACTGAATATCCTATTATCCTTAATTTTCAAAGCAAACTGGATTGAAAGCAACATTCGAGGTTTTGGTTGAGTTTGAAATGAATAAAATGTCACTTTTCAAACGTTAATATTTACAGGTACAGTGAAGAGCATCATATAAAACTGTTAAGAATGATGAAAAGATTTGGAAAATGAAATAATATAGGTACCTCATAACTAAATAACCGAAATTGTCTGTTATAAGACTTGGAAGGCCTGCAAGCCCCCATTTGCCTGGTGCATCCTATGAACATGCTGTCAAATATGAACTGCTATAGCAAGAATTGAGAAAGTCAATGCTTCATCATTTAGCTTAACAACCTATAACGAAGTTTACGATCGTTCGTTACTTCAAACAGAAAATGGAACTAACGCCCTGATAATAATCGAACGATACTGATTAATATATGCTGTCTAAACACCACAAAACCCAAAAATACAAATTATTTATTTACATCTGATCTTTAGCCAAGCTGTCTGAGTTGGTTCACACCGTCGGACTAAGTGTTTCTTCTAAAAATAAATTCCAAGCGAAATTACTAACAAACGTGGAGAGTCGATTTTTCTTCGAGATCAAATGATGCTGAGTGATGAATAAACAAATTGTTTTGGTCTAATTGGTCTCGTGCTACAGTAACTCAACATTCAGTTTGAACACTTGAAATATGTAAACGAACATAGGTACACATATTGCCAAGTGAAATCCAATTTACTATACACGAGCAACGAGAAATAACAGTCGATGACTGATACAGATGTACACACTAGTCGAATTTCAAAATTTTATGCAATCATTCGCTTTTTTTTGTTTTTCGAAATCATTGCAAATATATATTTTTCAATATCTGAAACCGGGGTAATATTATTTGATTATTATTATACTTGAATGATGCTTCAGTACCAATTATACAGATGTGCTGATTCATATGTACTTATTGCATTGTTATCACGGGAATGCAATTGGTTGTTATAATCATAAAATTCAAGGAACAGTTTTGTCTGATGTTTTTGTTATTCTTGATTTCATATAATGTGACAATACTGACAATGATCTAGTCATTTATAAGTTCTTAGTAGGTACATTGTTCGAAATGTCTTCCAATATCGACTAACATTTTTAGTTTTCAAAATTCACCAAATATTGCTGCTTAGTCCTGGAGGCTGAAGCCTGATTTTCCTGAAATTTGAGGAAACAGTGATGTTGCTATGTCAAAAACAAATACGGAAACTTGGCTTGTGCTTAGAAATTGGGTTCAACATCAGGCTTGTGTTTTTTTAATATAATGTATAATGTACTCATTGACAGAGAAGATACCTTAAAGTACACGATCTGGTGGACAACCATGTTGGGTAACCCTAATAATTGTCTTGGCCATTATTACCTGATACAAATCTATTATACCTAAATGATAAACTTTACTTAACTTCAGGTTATATACCTACTTGGTGTGTATTGTGCGATTATTCCACCCCAGGAAGCTAATGTGAAGCGAAACGTGCTATTGTGTATTTTGCGTACTGGTCAAACTTGTCGTTTTTCAAAAGCATGCTCATGTATTCAGAATTTGAAAAATAATACAATCTGTATATTAATGTTCTCTTTATTTTCAGGAACTGGTACTTTTGGCAGAGTAGTCCTCTGTAAAAACAAAGAAACCGATGAGTACGGTGCCATGAAAATTTTGTGTCTATCCGATATCATAAGACTGAAACAAGTAGAACATGTGAAGAATGAAAAGAATATATTACAAGAAATAAGACATCCATTTATAGTGAACATGTAAGTAGTACAATAATAATGACTTGAACTGTTATTCTGATATTTACAATAGACAGGGTGTTTCATTATACATTAATATTATTTGAGGGCGAGTTCCATGTGACAAAATATTAGAAAATCTCGTAAGTTCCAAATCTTTTGTTTCTCCATGGAAGTTTGTCTTTATTCAAGAAATGGCAGATGTCCAATAATAGATATTTTGGCTGGCAATAACACCTTCGTACCAACTTTATTTAATTGACCAAATCAAACATAACTGCTTCAAATGAATTTGAACTGCGTATAGAAGGCATTTGTTTTCCGTTAACCATTCCTTTATGAATATTTGGAACGACTTCCCCTTTAACTTTGGCACAACTCAATTTATTTATGTCCCAGCAAACATTCATTTGCGGCAAACTGAAGGCCCAATGCATTGCTTCCATAACTAGATGTTGCGGCAAAATGACTAGCGTTGGTACGGGGCCATCTAGAAAAGGACACTCTGGCCGACGGTTTCCCGACGGTCAATCAGCCGGCATTCATTCCATTGATGGGCCTTCAAATCCCCATACTGGCATAGAAACGAAGTATAAAAAATATCTCGACTTTGGATGATAAGATTGCGATCTGATAAGATCTTCATTTTGGAGGTTGACCTCATATATTTTCGTGACTTGGTAGCCCTGATGGTCCATTCTAGGTGTCCTATCCATTCAGTCGTATTTTTGCAACGGCCATATCGTTGGAATATCTCTATGAGAACATGACTAGCTACTCGTATTAGTATCTAAACTCATGTAGTGAGTATCGGTGAGATGTAAACGAATCGGAACGGATAACAGAATGTTTGAAACTGATATATTTTGTTGATAATATTTCAACTAATACTTTGATATTCTGAGAGAAATAATCCATGATATCATTCCATTCGGATAATCTTGGATCACTCTAGGAAAATATACAGTATGTCTGTAAAACGTGACAATAAATTGAAAACTTTTTCATTATTAATTCTAGGAAAAAAGTCATTTAACATAAAGACTTCTGCAAGGTCTAAAAACAAAAATGCAAATATCAGATATCGATTTTTGTCAGTCGTATACGAGGTATGTCAAAAAAGTAGATTTTGTTCAAGTGTAAATAATGTACCGTTTTTATTTTCGATAATATCGAAAATTATTATCATATAAAAAAGTTGACTAGAATTGAAAACTACGGAAAACTACGTTCAAATATCTGATAACATCTATTCACGATGAGAATCATGTATTATTATTTCTTACAATAGTTTCTGATCTATTCATATGGCAAACTATTTTATTATTAATTTTGCGGAAAGAAGCATTTTTCATTAAACGTTCTTCAAAGTAGCAAATCAATAATGCAGATATCATACCTATACTCAACAATGTTTTGAGTCATATGTCAAAAAATCCCAAATTTCTGTAGATCATACTCACGACTTTATTGAAATGATCTTATGATCCTATAATAATGCCATATTATGATTATCCTCAAATATGAAGAAAATCAGGTTTTTGAGGAATATGAATTCTTTCATCGTTTTTTCTTTCGTATGATTGGGAGAATACACAATCACAATGACCATACTGTGTTATCTGGAGCAAATAGGTTGAATGCCCAGCATTGGCCTTTTCAAAGATTGAGTAAACGAAGTTGTTTCATTTCCCGGCAACACCAAAGTCAATAAAACGATGAAGGGCCAATACTTATTTCCTTCACTGGCAAAGTGACTACAAGAATGTGAAAGGCCAACAGATTTTTGCCGCTGAAGTCATTCCCCCAGCAAAGAAAGCATTGGGCCAATAACTTCCCGGTAGTTCATTGTTTGTTGGCCTTATATAGACTAAACGGCGAATATCCAAACATATTTGTTTTCAGTTAACGATAAGTTCACATTGGATATAGCCAGGTTAAGATTAATTTACAGTTATTCTAGAAACACTTGCTGAAAGTTCATTAACATTTAAAATGTTAATTGTGTATGAACCGTCCATCTGAAAAACGTTGTTCAATCTTGTTTGAGATTTTCACTGATTTATGACAACATATTTTGTCTCGAAGAATACACAATAGATTTTCGTGTTTGAAAAAAAACTTGTACAAATATTTATTGAAACCATTAATTAATGCCAAGACAAAAGAAATAGTGTTTTCAGCCTCATACATTATACCAAGCTATTTTCGTAGGTACACGCGGTATTTATTTAAAGACAAGACATAAGATCGGATAAATGTAGATCTCATCACATAATATATGTATGGTACGTCATAGAGACAAATTTTCCACAATTTTCGACATTCAAATAGAAATAACGTATTATGAATCATTCAACTTCTTGTCAAGGATTAAATGAGACTCTTTTGGTAACAATTATTAATATAATGTAGAATGGTTTGATTTTCGAAAAAAAAGCATAGCCTACTCAAACCTGAAATGCATGGTTCAATTCTCATCACATCTCATCCCAAAACCATAAACAAAATGTCGTAAAATGATAATTATTGATTGTCTTCATAGTTATTCAATCAAGAACATATGGAAAGATAACCAATATTCGGGTCTATTCTGTTTGCAAATAGCAATATGGTTGTAGAGAAGATTCGAAAAAGTGGAATTCTAATCATCTATTTTTGGCAATATGATCTGTCAATTTCATTGACATCTGGTCAGCTTTCTAGCTATCTCGGCAACATCAATTTTGTGCTTGCTATCTTATAACAAGGTAGGTAGTGGATTCTTTGTTTCTGCACTACAAATTCTTTCAACTGTATGAAAATTCAGAAAATAGTGGATTAAAAACATATGAGAGTTCAGTTGTGTCACTGACTACTCGAAAACCTTTCCTCAAAGTTTCAATTCGTAGAAGAATTATTGAAAAACTTAGAATGGTGATTACAAACATATAGGATAGGTTCACTACTGCGAAAAACTACTTGAAAACCTTTTTTGAAGTTCCAATTTGTAGAGGAACATATGAGACTACAATTTCGGCATATTTAAGCTATTTTGATAAAATCTTTGTCTTCTCATTAACATAATTGATTACTTGCACCAGTCGCACAACGACGACCAGATTCAGCAAGTACAAAATCTCTCGATTTGAACAATATAATTTTGTGAAATGTCAGTGCAGGACTGACTAATTTGAGAGGTTAGATAATCATGAACTCTTCTTCTTCATGAAATAATCAAATAATGGCAAAATCGACACCTAACACAATGAGTTGAAAACAGTATTGTCAGCTCAAAAATTCTCAATTTTTCAACAATATTGCTATCACTTGAACTTATAACCAGTCTTGCAGTTACTCTGCAAACAGAATACAGAACTTCATAGCAATATTGTTATATGTTATGATCATAACAATATTATCATCTTAGCAATGTTATAACAAGATCCGAACAGAATCGACCCGTCGTAAAAGTTTTCTATTTGAACTTCATATCCATTTTCTGCGAAGAATATTGTTTATTGTTCAAATATTGAGAGACAATAATGAATCATCGATAGTCGCTGGTAAATGAAACTTTCATTTGGCGCGTGAGAAAGTGACAAGCCCAATAATATACCCCAGGCTATCGCCAGATGAAAGATGAAAGTAATATTTTGTACTATAGCCCTGCTCTCCATCTACATCATAGACGATCTCCAAACGGGTTTCAGTTCCGAGTCAGACGACTGGACACTTGAAATATTCGTGCACATACTTACATAAGTTGCACTATCTTTTTGGATTTACTCATCAGTAATAGGCGAGAACATTAATTTCTATAGATAAAATACCGTGACGTTAATCATGATGGGAAAAGACGTAGAACATTTTTTGAATTTTTATTCCTGAAGGAACGCCTTGAAATTTCTTATTTCCAAGAAGAAATTAATAAATCTTGTGAAGTTAGATTTTTTTTTCAAATGAAATACAAGTTCAATTTCATAAAAACATTTATTTTACAAAGAAGTGAAAGAACAATAATGAATTGATTATGGCCAGGGGCGGCCTCACAATATCGATGAATAACAATAACAGCAGTCAGATATCAATTCAATTCAATAAATCATTTCCTACTGCACGAGTCTGGTAAAACTAACCGAGAATCTACATAATAAACAACGTGATATGTAGCGTAGGGGAATGAAATATTAATAGCACCCACAATAATCATTCTCATGGATTATGTTATATAACATCAGTCTCATAACGGGTACAAAAAGGTTTATAATAATTATAATAAATCATATTCAACCGTACAGGTACAAATACCTAGTTATGTTCCTGTTCTGACATTGACGTATGCAGCCTTCAGTATATTTTCGACCCACTATAGTCGTACAATCCTACCCCACGCATATCAAGGAAACACCTCTCAAATATGCTAACAAACCCTGCACAGTAACATACGTTTTTCTCATTCGCAGATCAAGGCATTACCTCTCAAATCTGCGAAATCCACAAACTATTAACATAAAAGGGGCTATCCCTTCGCAACATATCAAGGTAACACCTCTCAGATATGTGCATCATCATTACTATGTTGATAATTAGTTGTTTGTATTGAACAATAACCCTTAACATTATAATATACTATAGGTACTAACCTTATTCCACACAATCCTCTTTTTCAATTCAACTTCCCGACACCTTACAACACAACAACACAAACAACAATCTCTGGTAACTAACACTTGATTCTCCTATCTATCAAGTGAATGAAAACTGCCAACAATTACAATATTACGTAAAAATAACGCTAACTCGTTCACCACTATCCTAACATGGAATGCCGAATTGTCTGCCTCCGGCCTCGATCATAGCGCGCTATCAATATCTTTTCGTCATCGAGTGATAGTTTCAGGGTGGACAAATAAAAACTGTTACAGTCGGCCATCCTGTGTATGCCTCGCCTCGAGGCTATCGTTACTATCACTGCATCGGTGATCTGGATCGGAAAGTGGAATATCTCCGTCTCCGTCACTCTCACTGTCGGTTATATC